GACCACTTGCCTTGTCTCCTGAGCAAGCAACTTGCTCGTTCTTGTAGTAATCAATCGGTCTGTCTGTTTTGTTTTGTATTTTTCATGTATGTATTTCTTTTAAGAAGTGTTTTCTAGCCAACTATCATAGGCTCTTGATAATAAGCTTTTTATTTTATTTTATTAAAAACAGTTTTTTTAAACGTTTTGTTGTAAATTATGTGATAGTTTACATGGGAGAACATTAGCTTTACGTTCATTCTATTGTATATCATTTCATTGCCATGGTTACAATCCCCTCCGTGCATCCTCAACCAATCAAAGGGTATACCCTGCAAGCCTGTCCGCCAGTCGTCAGCACACAGCCCCTCTCCTTCTCTGGGTCTAGGGTCTCTAGCCGCTCCATCTCTCCACATCATCATCTCTGCCTCCATCTCTGGCGTCACTGCTTCTCTGGGTAGGGTCCCGCTCTCCATTCTTCTCCCTGAGTTAGAGTCCTCACATTTGTCCCTATTTTTTCATTGATGGCATTCATAATTCTGGGATTCACATTTAGGTCTTTAATCTACGTTGAGATGGTTTTTGTGTAAGGTGTGAGGTAAAGGTCTTATTTCAATCTTTTGTATATCGCTTTCCATCATATGCTAGTTCTCGAAATGGATGAACGTCACCATTTGATTTTGGTACGGTGACGCTCTATGTTATTTCCATTTTCTTTTGATGCTTTCTATATCAGTCAATATTTTGCCCATAGAATTTTTCAGTATTTCTAGTTGAGGCTTGAATTTTTTCTTTAGTTTTTTTAACTTGAGAAATGCTGAGTGTGTTTTTCCCTTTTGGTTTTCTAACTCCAGGTCTTTGCACATTTCATTGTAATATAATACTTGGCTTTGACTCTCAAACAGTCATTTGAAATTGTCTCTTCAGCTCTTTTACTTCCTCATTTCTTCTATTTATTTTAACATCTTTATGCTGGAGCTCTGGTAGCATAGTGGTTACGAATTGGGCTGCTAACCTCAAGGTCGGCAGTTCGAAACTACCAGAAGTTCTGCAGGAGAAAGATGAGGCATTCTGCTCCTGTAAAGATTTACAGCCTCGGAAACCCTGTGCAGGGTCACTATGAGTCGGAACCGACTCCACGGTACTTAACAACAACAACAATGCTGGAGAGCAAGCTTCAGAATCTCTTCTGATATCCAATTTGGTCTTTTCTGTCTTCCTTTTGTTTTTTGCTTTCTTCCTTTGTGTGATGTTCTTGATGTCATCCTACAACTCTTCTGTTTTTTGATCATTGGTGTCTAATGCATCATATCAGTTCTTCAGACAGTCTCTAAATTCAGGTGGGATATGTTCAAGATAAAATTTTGGCTCTCAAAAATTTGTTTTTAATTTTCTTCATCTTTAGTCTGAACTTGCAAATGAGCATTTGAGGCTCTTTGTCACAGTCTGCCTCTAGCCTTTTTTTGGCTGATGATATGGAGCTTTTATACTGTTTCTTTCCTACAGAT